CCCTGTGGCCCCTGTAGGCCCCTGTAGGCCCTGTGGTCCCTGTGGCCCCTGTAGGCCCCTGTGGGCCCCTATAGGCCCCTGTGGGCCCTGTAGGCCCCTGTGTAGAACCGGCTCTGAGTAAACCCAAAGGAGGGGAACACTTCTGGGTCGGCCTGATTTTCAGCCAATGAGCCACAGACATGCTGCTATGGCTCACGTGACGTCATCACATACCAGGAGGAACACGTCGGGCAGAGGGGGCGGGGCGGGGGCGGGGCCAGAGCGTGGGTTTCCCCTCGTGCCGCTGCTGCTGATTGTTGTTTTTTTTGTGGCGGACCTTTCTTTATATAAGACCGCTGATGGAGCTCACTCTCACACTCAGCTATCCGATCCAGCATGGCCCGGTTCGGCTCGCTCATGGTAATGCCGCTCGGTACCGGTGGAGGGGCGGGTCGTGTGCGTGCTGCTGCCGGGTCTGACGCCTCTCTCTCTCGGTCTCTCCGCAGATCCTGCTCGGTTGTTTACTGATCCTCCCCGGGCGCTCTGCCGCTCGCTGCCTGAACGCGACGGAGCTGCAGCGCTCCCAGCAGCGCCTCGAAAGGACGTCCTGGACGTTCCCTCACGTGACGACGCCGCAGCACGCGCCCACCTGCGCACAGGTGGCCGAAATGCTGCCTAAGGACACAGCGGGCCGCTCCCTGTCCCCGTGGAGCTACAGGTGAGTCCAGTACTGGTCCCGGAGAGGGTTAAACCCGGAGGGTTCGGCTCCGGTCGGCTTGGTTCCTGCATTTATAAACACGTACATTAAGACCAACGTGAACGAGAGAAGAAACGCACTGAGTCTGAAGATGAGTTGAGGAGGAGAAGCTGATCTTCTAAACGGTACCTGTCTGGGACACACGTGTTAACATCTGACCCGGTAGAACCTTTACAGTAGTGTCAGCAATAATCTTTGTTTGTGTGCAGCTCTTTCTTGCTGCTGTGTTAAATGAGTCCAGAACCGTGACTGGACCTGGTTCTGAGAGCTGCATGGATGAGCAGCTCGTTTAAAGGACAGCAGCTTGACAGTTGTTTGACTGTGTGTTTGATCCGGTGTATTTAAATCAGATAAAGTAACATGTCACAGACCTTTGTAGTGTTTAACGGTCACATTGTTCCACCAGATGTTTCTGCTCAGTGAGCTTCAGACGGTATCAGGTCCATGTAAAGCTTCATGCTATATAAATGGTCTTAATCTCCATGTTGAAGAACTTTCTAAGAGTGTGAACAACCTCCACTTCAGAAATCTGTATTTTCACAAACAATGATTTGTTCTTTTACAACCTGTGACTGTAAACGTAGTGTTCCTGCATCCCAACCCGCTAAGAATACCGTCATGTACAGATGTTCTATTTGACTGTTTAAATCACGTGTCCTTTGCTTCAACAGCAGAAGCAGCTCAGGAGAAACACTCGATTTATGTTCCAGGCTAATCGATTGTTCATCGATGGTGCTGCATTTATTTTAAAAAATGACTAGAAATGGTGACGCCTGTGTCAGGATCAGACTGATCAGAAAGGATCCTGATCTGAGAGAGTGAAAGCTTTTATACTGGACATGTGACTGAAGCTGATCGTCTCTTCCAGGCTGGACCGGGACGACAACCGGTTTCCTCATGAGATCCCCGTCGCCAAGTGTCTCTGCGAAGGCTGCATCATCAACCAGCGCGAGGACGTGAACTACAACTCGAAGCCGGTGTTCGTCTGGAGGAACGTGCTGAGGAAGGAGCCCTGTCCAGGAGACCCGACCAGAGTCCAGGTCAGCAAGGAGAAGTTCAAAGTCGCCGTCGCCTGCACCTGCGTCTGGCCTGAAAATGTCCGACGCTAACCAAGCATCGGCCAGCATGCTGGTAAACGTCTCTGAACTGTCGCATTTCCAACATTTACATCAGTACACCATTCAGCTTGCAGGTACAAAATGTTTTCTCCAGGGAGGGACTTCTGTCAGCCATGTTTTAGGGAGGGGGGGGCAGAACGAGGGCCAGTCCATCCATTTTGTCAATCCTTCCTTCAGCGCCACCATGAGGTTGATGTTTTTTGTCATCTTTTGAAATGTCTGGACAGTACATGAAAGATGGACGAAGCCTTAAAGCTGCATTTGTTCTAACGGCCACCAGGGGGCGACGCCTCCGCCAAAGGAAGTTAGAATGTACAGATCAGAAAATGAAGCTGCTTACAACTCGATTAATTACCTCAAAGAACATTTTCCTGATAAGTTTATGGTCTCAGCCGCTAGTTTCAGCTCTCCTTTAATTCATCAGGATGTTCATTTAGTAAACGATGATCCCATTTAGAGGAAAACGGACGGCGAACAGGGTATGAAACTCAATGCAGAGGACCACATTCTGCCAAACAAAAACAGTCTTCAGTGCAGACGTCCAGAATCCCACCAGGATGAATGACTCTACTGTGAATTCTCATCAAATACCTGAAAAAAAAAAAGCAGTTTTAGCTGTACTGTCTTTAGTGCTAATTAGCATATATTAGCATGCTAATGAGTGCACCCAGGTCAGCATGTTTGCTTTGTCGTTTTGACAACAAGTCATCAACTTAGAGGTTTTAGATCAAGAGTTCGACCCGTAACGACCCGCGTGTTTCTTATCAGGATGATCAGTGACAAAGATCAATAACCGATCTTTGAAACTGAAATACATTTCCGAGTGTCAAAGTTTTGCATTGCCCAAACTCCAACTGAAAATCATTGTTTGTTTATCCTGTAGGCGTTTAATCAACTAGGAACGTATTGACATTTGATTGGCTGTTGATCCTAACGTACAACCAACCAGATAGCACGCTAACACACTTCTTTACATTGCTGCTGTTGGTGTTATTTTAGATATTATCCATCTCTAAATCTAAATTACACAATAGTTTCTAAACAATACAGAACTGGACATACCAAGTCCGCACACACGGGCAACCGCTTCAACTGCAGTAACACCTAAATGTCAAACCTGATGACCTGAAAACACTACTGTGGTTATTGAGCTACAAGACAAACCATTTCTCTCGCCACAGATGGACATATAGCTCAGGGTATTTGGACTTTATGACTGTGCGAAATGATTTATCTCAGGTTACGTGAAATTTTTCTTATCTTTGAACCAGATAAAAGCAGCTTCATACAAACTGGCACGAATCACTTTATGGCGAAACACGATCACCTTTACCGAGAGGCGGCAGCATCAGAGCCAAAGTATTTTAAATTAGTTTTTTTCATTAAGAATCAATTTTTAAAATACTATAGTGAAAATAATAAATACAGATACAAGTTGGATGGAAGTGTAAAAATGCAGATTTTTCTGATAATCTAATCTATAATAGTCTCTTTCTAACCCGTCCATCCACCCCGACCTCCAGGCCTATGGCGCGACAGCTGCCCGTTGTCATCACTACAGCCGCTAGAGGGAGACGTTGACTTTTAGCCTTCTGTCAGCACGTTCATCAACCCGACCTCCTTCCTGTGCCGACCTCATGGCTCTGTCGCTGCGTCACCAGACCAGCCACATGGGGGCGCTGCCATAAGCTTGTAATAGCATGCTAATGTTAGCATTTAGCTAAAATTACCATTAATTTCTGTCTCAATCAATAAAACAAACACATCAGGAAAACACAAACAGGAGCGACATTTCAGAGCCACAGTTGACGCAGTATGCTAACAGTTAAGAGCTTCGTTAGCGTCAAGTGAGAAACTCCAGCTGCACCAAAAGGCAGCATCAACTATAATCCCATGCTGCTCAGTTATTCTGTTCAATACTTCTTAGATTAACACTAGAAATGCAACGCTTCCTTTCCATTAACCAGCTAACAATACAAATCATTTCACCTCAGATATCTCAGATTCATTACGCTGCTCTGCGGTTTGTAGCTAACGCGGTATAACAGAGCGAGCTGCAGGTTTAACTCAGGTTAAACCTTCCAGGAGATGCTTTCACACCTTTTTATAGTCTCCACATTCTGATCAATGTGAAACCAATCAAAGATTGTAGGTTCACTTTAGGCCACAAAGGCAACAAGTGAATAGCTAAGGCCAGCGGCAGCTAGCTTAGCTTAGCTTAGCATAAGGACTGGAAACAATAGAAATTTGCTAGGCTGTTTAGAATAACTAGACTCTGTTAGAAAGAAGTAGACAAACCACTCTGATTCTTTCATATGAAACTGTGAATTTTTATCATTTTGCAGTTTTCACTACTGTACACACAGAAGCCTGTTTAGTTCAGTGGCTCCCAAACATTTTCTTTACAAATAAGACGATTTTAACGAAAACAGCTGTTTTAGATGTGGATCTGCTGTAATGTGGTCCTCGTGTGTAATTTTTTATATGACAGATGTTATGATACTAAACTTTATTTCTGTAGCATCGTTCCAGGCTGGAGTTACTTTAAGGTACTTTTAAAAAGTTTCTACAAGTTGTAGGGACACCAGCACTGATCAACATGACGCGGACAAAAACTGAATTCATGACACAACTCGCTGTGATCGTTTTAACTATTTACTCCTCCTGTATGGATTCTGCCTGTTTCGTGAAATTACAGATACCATACAGAAAACTTTATTCATTCACATGTTTACTGTAAAACAACAACAAACAGGTCAAAACTGTAAATAAAAATCTGTATTTTGTAGGAGATTGTAATCTGCGCTCCTCCAGGTTTGTCCATGAAAATACATGAGTTTTTTGTTCCAGACTGTATTCAAACCAGCAAAAACAAATATTGTTGCTTCACAGATATTTGCTGTTATTTGAAAGAAAAACATTTATTTTAAGGACATAAAAATGGAAAATAGTTTTTAAGTTATTTTGAACGCTTTCTCTGTTTCTGTTTTCAATCAAATCAGAGAAAATAAAATAAAAAAATTTACATGTTAACACTAAACTAAAAACCGGTCAGAACTGTGAATAACGTCCACGACTAAAGTCTGTGTTTTCCATAAATAATAATTTGTTCTTCTCCGATGTGTGACTGAAGCATTACAGAGTGTTGCTTCGTTTCAGTCAGAGACAAAACGTCAGTTTTCCCCAAATTGTCTCATGTTTTGCACCTTGAATGAGATTCCAGCGGAGCTCAGACTACAGCGACCTTTTACAGTTGATCCCATGTTGCTTGTTAAATCCAAACTACTTTATGCTAAGCTAAGCTAACTGTGTCCTGGATAGGACAGTATTAGACACTTTATGTGCACGCAGATGAACTGAAGACACTGTAGTTTGTGTTTTTCATGTAGAAATTATCGACAGTTTTTGTTGAGTTTTTTGTTTCATTATTATATTTGGCTTTTTATATTATATTTTTGTATTCATTTTTTTTATTTATTTGTGTTATAATGGTCGGAGTTAATGCAGATGATTACTGTGAAGTGTGTTTTAAAAGGCAAACCGCCGCCCTCTGCTGCACAAGAACTCACCTGTGAAAAGTAAAATGTGACTGGATGTACTGTTGTGGTGAAGCTCCATGTTTGGGTTTGTTAATGCTGTGGAGGAGAAAAACGTCACTTTAACCGAACAAATTAGTTTTCGGTCACAGTGTTTTTTTTAATTTTAGTTAATTCTGTGGAAGCCTCGCCGACTGCTGCTTGTCTCAAACACTCACCTCGTTTGTAACCGTGCACTTTCACCAGCAATAAAACGGTTTCTGTCATGTTGTGTCTCCTCTGTTTGGTGTTTGGTGCAGAAATGTACACCTCAGGATGACACAGGAGACACGTCCACCTTAATACACTGACACAGATAAAGACAAAAACCAGCTAAAACATCCGTCCATCATCTCTACACCTTAATCCTCACTATGGGGGGCGGAGCCTATCCCAGCTGACTCAGGGTGAAGGCAGGTTCACCTGGACAGGTAACCAGTCTATCACAGGGCTACACTTAGAGACAGACAACCAAGCACACTCACATTCACACCTACGGACAATTTACAATCACCAATTAACCTCAGCATGTTTCTGGACTGTGGGAGGAAGCCGGAGAACCCGGAGAGAACCCACGCTGCACGGGGAGAACATGGAGACTCCACGCAGGAAGATCCCGGGTGTCCTCACCGGGACATGAACCGGCGACCTTCTAGCTGTGAGGCGACGGTGCTAACCACTGAGACACCTGCAGCCCATTATTATTATTGTTGTATCTCTATTCTTTATTTTCTATCTCGCTTATATCCTCATTTTTATATTCTGTGCTGCACTGTTCTTTTTTATGTGTAATTTTATACGTATGTTTGCACAATTTCTTATATGTAAATGTTTCTTGCTAGTATGTGTGTAACTGTGCTGCTGCTGACAGCACAGTGAATGTCTCCACTATGAGATAAACAAAGGCCGATATTACCTTTTATTTATTTATATATATATATATATATATATACGTTCAAACATGACCCATCATATGTCAGCATATGTGAGTCTGAGCATCTTATATTAATGCTGTATTATAGTTTCCTCATCTGGCGTATTTTAACATTATTCAACATCTTTATGAACCACAGCTGCTTCCCCTCCAGCCTCCATTTTACGACAGCAGCTGCTTCCTGACGGCAGCCGGTTGTCATAACGTCAAGCAACATGGCGGCTGCGGCGCAGAGTCCCGATGCTGAGGCGGTTTTACCGGAGAGCTCCGCGGCTGGAGGGGACGGAGCAGCACCGGCGGCCGCTGCCCGGGACAAGCCGGTGTGTCTGATCGTGCTGGGCATGGCGGGCTCCGGGAAAACCACCTTCGTCCAGGTGAGTCCGGCTCCGCTAGCAGGAGAGGCTAACGGCAGCTAGCTGCATGCGTTAGCCTCCCGGTCTGTGTGTTTTTATCTTCTGGTTCGTGTTCTGATCAGTGCGGCTCCGTCTAGTTGTTGGAGCTTCACATGTAAAACGTGTCGTTGTGTCCCTGCAGGACTTCAGCACATAGTCCGGCTCCGAGCGGACCGGTGGGTTCAGAGGTTCAGGACGGAATGGATCCTTTTAAAACTGAACTAAGCAGCTGAATGAAAGCTGTTGAACTGGACCAGAATACATGTATGTCAGGCTAGCGGGTGTCCCAGGTCACCTGGATTAGATTAGATTAGATTGACTGTCCATAAAGTGAGTTTGCCAAATAAGCCAGAATTATTTTAGTTCGTCTGACTTACTTTGTTCAAATCATGGTTCATAAAGTAGGTTCAACATAATTCAAGCTCAGATACCGGAAACTATGGCTGAGAAACTCATCTAGGGGAGGATTGGCTAACTGTAGGGCTAGCTGTCGGGCTAACACCATGGAGACCTAGCACCACAGCATCAGTTACCATGGAGACCTAGC